TACCTGGTTACAAGCATAACTAAAGTAAAACACCTGCGGTTGAAAGAATTAAAATAATGCAGAAGGGTAGAAAATGAAAAGTCAGTGTCTCCTTCCTCCATCCTCAATCTCCAGTTTGAAGCATTTAAATATTATAAACAAATATTTGTAGCTTTGATTTTGAGGATTATGTAAGGGAAGGTTTTTGATATTTCCCAGCACAGAGTCTAACACTTAGTATATGTGGAAAAAAGTTAGTTTCTTGGCTTTACTCCCTTTCTAGATCATGCAAAGAGACTCTTTTTTCCTTTTTAAAAGATTAATGAATGTCTGGCATCCACCTCTGCACTGGGACATTACTTATATAGTGATGCTGAAACTAGTAAAAACTTGATGTAAATAAACATTGTAGTTATCTAAATCCATGACTTAACTGTACATTTCTTCTCATTTAATTGTATTCAACAAAGAAAAGTTGATTAGGAGTGCCAGAGACTGCTGCAAGGATCCATTCATTCTAATATTTGCGGCCTGACTTCATCGAAGTTTATAAACTAGCAAAAGAAAAACCCAGTTTCCTTGGAGAATTCTTCTAGCTCCCCAGATACTTCTAGGAAGAGAGTTAAAATTGAATTAGTATAAACACTTGGGTGGTACAGCTGCACAGGTTTGACACTTTTAGAGTAGCAGTTACCTTTGTGTGAGGAATAATGGGGCCCTTTCTCCAAGCAGGGTATGGACTACATTTCAGCCTCTCCTTGCTCCCTTGGTTGGGTGCTCTTGTGCAGTGCACAACCTGCTCATCAGTACATCGTTGGCCTGCCTAGTAAAAATGGTAGTTCTGCATGATTTTGATCCTTGCATGTAGGATTTTTCTCCTTTAAAGCTGATAAAGAGAGAGATGAGGGAGTGACAGTGAAGAAAGGAGCCTTTGTTAGACACCTGTTTGGCTCAGGTATGGTGATTGGTATTCATGTATATCTTTTATATACACTGCTTACAACATCACTCTACTGTATGTATTATTAACCACATATTTCAGTTAAAGAAACTGAGGTTAGAGAGTAAATGATTTGCCCAAAGTCATCAGTTAATAACGAGTGGAACTGAATGAAACCCAGATTATCTATTTTAGAGTTGGTATCCTTTCTGAGTACTACACTGGGGTGCTGTTATACATTTTGTATTTTATATAAGCACACATCTAAGTGCACACACCACCTCCTTACTCAGAAAGCTATAGAGAATGCATCCATTTCTTTAAATAGTGCACTAATATTTGGCCTTGCCAGTTTCTAGCTGTGTGAGTATGGGCAAATTAGTTAATCTCTCTGTGCTTGGTTTCTACATCTTTAGGGTAAGGATACTGATAGTATTGATCATGTTGAATTGCTGTGAAGATTGAATAAGGTACTTGGCAAATTCCTTAACCTCTCTGTGCCTCAATTTCCTCATCATTAAGATGGGCTAATAATAGTCTCGATCTCTTAGAATTATAGAGAGGATAAAATGGAATGAAACCCACAGTAATAAGCAATTGTTAAATAACTATTTAATGTTATTTTTCTCATTTTAAATATGAGGAGAAAGAAATTCAGAGGGATCAAATAACTTGCTTAAAGTCACACAGCTAGAAAATGATAGAGCTAGGACTGGAACCCAGGTTTCTCTGATTTTGAATGTAATGTTTTTAATTATTAAACTGTCCTGAAAGAAGAAAAGAAACACAAAGAAGAAAGCACAATATATAAGCCAATTCCATTTATTAAAGTGTGTGTGAGAAGCTCCAGGTTCACCAGCATGGTGAATTTTCTGACACTAAAGGAGTTAATGACTAACCTGTCTCTGAATTAGCATCGAGTGCTCAAGAGACACCTAAGTGCCTGGGATGGGGTTGGGATGTTTTAGAAAGATGAACTTTTTCTACTGAGCCAAAATGGAGTCACAGTTTTTTTGTAGAATGAACCTGATGTGTTATTAGTGGTTCCCTTAGAAAATTCAGATTTGATGGCCAAGATGTGGAGACAACCTAAAGGTCCATCAGTGGCTGAATGGATAAAGAAAATGTCATATATACATATAATGGAATAAGATTCAGCCTTAAAAAAGAAATTATGTAATATGCGACAAGATGGAGGAACGTTGAAGACATTATGCTAAGTGAAAGAAAATAGTCACAGAAAGACAAATACTGTATGATTCCTCTTATATGAAGTATCTAAAATAGTTAAATTCATAGAATCAAAGAGCAGAATGGTGGTTGCCAGGGTCTGGGGGAAGGGGGAAACATGGAGTGACTAATCAATGGAAACAGCGTTTTAATAAAGCAAGATGAACAAGCTTTAATGTTGATGATGCCCAAAGGAGGCGTGTCCATTTCACTAAATGGCCTTGGACAGCCCTCCCCACCCCACAATATGTCAGATCTCCAGTTTCCTTTATCTTCTGAATTTAGAGGGAGGTGTCCTTATGAGGTAGGCATACATTGACGATTGTGCCAAACTTTGATCCTTAGGGTAATTGCTGGCAATTTAAACAGTAATATTAACTTGGTTTGGTCACTCAGTATAGATTATATTAAAGATTTATTCACTTCCCTTCAAAATAAATCTTTATTTTTCTAAAACAAAGTAAAACAATAACAACAAAAAGGGTGACTAAGCTGTAGACATCTGCTGTACAACTTTGTGCCTGTAGTCAACAATACTGTACTGTACACTTGAAATTTTGTTAAGAGAGTAGATCTCGTGTTAAGTGTTCTAACCACAATATGACAAAATTAAAGAAAAAAAAATTCAGATTTGATTCTCCTAGCACCCACAATTTCCCTGCAGTTTTAATTAAGAAATGTGTTTTGCTTCCCCTCTGTGTCTGCCGAACTGTATTTCACACAGGTGTTTCCTAATCATTTTGTCGACAAAGGAGCCAGTGAAAACTGTAGCTTAAGCAATACTTTATATAAACACATTGTATAATGTGAGTTGTTTGCTCTTTACCTTCAAATAATTTTTTCAAATGGGCTTAAATCTGATGTCCATGTACAGAAGTTTTCAACAGTACTGTCTTGATAAATCATTTAATAATTCTAGCTTTATTATCTTTCATTCATCAAGTGTCATCTCTTTGAACTTAAACTAAAATCTATTATATCATCTTCTGATTTGGAGACTTGAGTTACTGGGTCAGAACTTTTCCAGGGATGATTTCCTGAGCTATGACATGACGAAGATGCATTTGCTCAGTTTTCTGAGAGCATTTTCGGCAATGACTGTGATCCACCAGTCCACAGGTCCAAAATCTCAGGGGTTGGGGTATTCTTCTCAAGTTACTTCTCTCAATATAGTTTTATTGTCTGTCCCAAGACACTAAGACATAAATATTGTCTGTTAATTCAGACCTTTGCTGAAACTCAACAAAGGTACATTTCATCCTCTTTATCACCACTCCTGAACTTGCCATCCTGCCAGTATTTAGATAGTATTCTACTACCAGCCCTTGAGTGACTAGCATTTCTAGCCAGATCATTCCTAATGTCTCTAATTAAACCATCCCTGTCTTCTGTGTTTCACAGACAACTTAAACTTCTGAACGTTTTTTTTTCCTATTTAATTTCTTTGGTGACATTCAAGATCTTTTATTTATTTATAGGTATTACTGATTTTAAAGGCAATTCCTGAAAAGTAGAGAAAAAATAGTTTACTTAAAGGATCTTAGATATGTGTGTTTCTGGATTATCTTGGCTACTTTTATTAACAGGCTTACAGTTCATTTCTAGCTGTAAGTATATGATTTGATCTATTTTTGGCTCTATTTGGGAGATACAAACAAAATTTGCTTTACTTCCTTTTTAGGAGTATCGAGGGGATATAAAATATAAGCAAATTTTCTTTCCAGTGAGTTTTAAGCTTTGTAACTGAGATCTAAACAAATTACAGGAACTCTGTAAAACTATATAATATCTGTTTAAACACAGTAAGCCTTGAACCTATATTATTAAACTCGGGGCCAAATTTGCCATTCATATTAACATAGTCAATAGAAAATGTTCATCATATAATGTTAGCAGGAAAAATAGAATTTAGAACACTCTGTGAAATCTTGATAACAATATGTTATTAACGTTAATTTATATGCATATTGAAAAAAGAGCAAAGGGAAGTAAATATACTAAAAGCATAATGGTGGATATTCCTGGATTGTAGCATTACTGTGTGAGTTTAACTTGACTTTTTAGTCCTTTTGTATTTCCCAAATTTTCTACAATGAATATGTATTACTTTAAAAATAAATAAAGGCATTTCAAGACGTTGTTCAAGGGACACATCATTTTATTAAAAATGATTCTGGATTTAAAGAGATGGTTTGTATCAGTTGTAGGTTATTATATGTAAATTTCAAGTTCTATCTGGTTTGAATTTGTTGACTACAAAGCTAAAGGAAGCTTTAACAATAAAAAGAATGATTGGATGCAGTAACCGTAACTTTCATGAGTATAGTCCTGGGGAACCCTAAGCTATCCCATGAGTTATTACATACTCCCCTGTGTTGATCATGCTTATCTCCGCTCATGTAGGCAGAAGGGGCGTTGACAGCCGTTAACTATTAGGCTGTTAAGGTCATACAGCTTCTAAATGGTAGGCCTGCAACTGGACCCTCATCTAGTTTTCTGACTGTTCTCTATATGAGTAAATAAGAAAATGACACCTTCCTTTTTGAAAAGAAAATCATCATGAAGGCCTTTTGTGCTCTTTGTGTTTGTGACTGTGTTACTTTTATTTCAGTATCTTCATGCCTGTTATGTGCTAGGAACTCGCTGGGCGCTGGCTATCCATTTACTTATCTAATCCTCCCATCAACCCTGTGATATAGATATTCTGGTCTCTGTTTTACAGCACAAGTGAAGTCTCTCTAGATTTGTTCATGGCACTGGTGAATTGTAGATATGGAATTGAACCCACTCTTTTTATTTATTATTTTATTTTTTTATTTGTGGCCGCGCTGAGCGGCTTGCAGAATCTTAGTTCCCCGACCAGGGATTGAACCTGGGCCCTCAGCTGTGAAAGCACAGAGTCTTAACCACTGGACCACCAAGGAATTCCCTGAACCCGCTCTCTTTGACTCTAATGCTCAGCACAGTGAGAGCTGAGTGCCAGGAAAGCTGCGTTAGAGGAAGAAAAAGGAGGAGGGAGAGCACACAGAAGACTCAAGGGAAACCATGGCCAGTTACACAAAGTGGGTCCGCTGCCGGAGGGGTTTAAGGGGACACACTGTGGAGACAGAGATAACTGGGTTTAAATCCCTCCCTGATTCTTACTAGTTCTGTAAACTTTAACAGTACCTATCTTATCCTCTCAGATGTTCAGTTTCATTATCTGAAAGTTGGATACACAGTCATAATAATTTTAATTCTCATGAGGAATACATGAGGTAACTTCTATAGAGATCTCAGTGCACAAGTCCTGGAGTCAAATTAGGACTATGTAAATGTTAGTCCTAAATGATAATGATGATGATGATGATGATGATGATGATGATAGTAGTATTATTTATAAACCTGAAGTTGCACAGCTATATCTGGCCAAGGAAGGGCTTTAATATAAAGCCAAGAACTTAAGCGGAATTAAAAAGAAACATTCTAATTGAAGTCTCCTTAAAGACTGAGATAGATTGATAAAAACTCAAGAAATTATGAGAAAGATACCATTTTTTTTAGTTGATTAGTATATTTTGCCTGAAAGGTTTTTGTTGTGTGGGTCATATTCTTTTAGTCCATGTGGCTTGAATATAAGACGTATGGATCCCTATTTGTCATATCTCTTAGTAAGGAGAAAATTAACAGGAGGCAGAAAGAAGGTTAAGGGGCTCCTCTTTGATTTGTGGAAACCAGTAGAAGTGTGTCAGGTGGGGAAGTCCAAGCGTTCTTTAGGTTTTGGGGTGGGGTGATGTGACACAATTGTGTGTGTGTGTGTGTGTGTGTGTGCGCGAGAATATGTGTGTGATTTGAAAGCAACTGTATCCTTACATACCCAGCTGTAATGGCTCCATGGTAGAGATTTTTACTTATGTTAAACCTCAGTCTGTTGTATTGTTGTATGTTACTTTAAATAAACATTGATCCTTAAGCAACTGATTTAATGAAGATTAGGCAGCAAGTTCGCTCCTCTTCCCTTTTCTGTTCATTTTGGTCTCCCCATGGCTGGTTTCCTTAAAGCCTCAGTGATTGTGGGGCATGTCATTACACCTTTCATAGTTTCCTAGGCTTGAAAATCAGTAAGCTGTACTAGTTAACCTCAGAGACTCCTCCCATCTCTCTAATTCTATAATTCCATGATTTTTATAGTAACATGTCATGTGTGACCTAGGTTTACAGCTTGGACCATGTAGTTATAAGGCATTTGTTAGTGAGTCATTGTTCCTGTCATGGAAAGAACACTTACATGGACATTGAGTTAACATGAGCCTCTTGTTTGCAAGGCTAGCTTGTCAGTAATGTTTTCATTTATTAGAAAGGTGATGTACTGTCCCTTTGCACAAGGATGAGTGTGGTGTACTACAGTCCTTGTAAATTTTGTACTCCCAGGATGGTCTTAGCTCGGGCTAATGAGAGGTTGCTTGGAGTGACTCAGATTTAAACACTTGCACTATTATTCTAATCCAGTCTGTCTTCTGCAGTGTTAGTCAAACAAGACGCTATTATTCTTAAAAATAATTTTTTTAAAATCAGTGCAATGTAAAGGATTAACTGTGTCAGCATCTTTCGTTTTTTTGTGCCACTATGGCCTTTTTCCCTAATGACATTTTCCATGAATGCCTCTTTCTTTTCACTGCTATTTATATTTGTTGCTTGTTTTGATTTTCTTAGAGCTTTCTATATTGTATCATTTCTTTGTATCAGACACCATGATCTCATGAGAAAAGCAAGCATACCCAAGGGTGACCTGGGACTGTACCTTTGTTTCCAGAACTCAGGAAAGCTTTTGCCTTCCTGTCATTGATGTGTGTTCTGAGCATCTGTTGACATTCTCTTTAGATTCCTTTCTCTTGAGTGGACATACCCATAAAGGAGAGGTATTGAAATATGTGGCTGTCATAAATGAATACGAAGCATGCTGTTAATAGGAAATTCCTTGTAACTTTTAAATATGCATGGTAAAAACCCTATTGTATGGATTTGAAGTGTGTCATTTTTAGTGACTAAGCATGCAGGCATATAAATCCCTTTTATTTGGTCATGGCTTGCAGTTTGGTTCTTGAAGAACTAGTGAAGATAATAGTAATTCACACAGAACACTCTTCATGTGATATCAATTAAAACAGCACTAATTGGGACTTCCCTGGTGGTCCAGTGGTTGAGAATCTGCCTTCCAATGCTAGGGGTTGTGGGTTCGATCCTTGGTTGGGGAACAAAGATCCCACATGCCGCGGGGCCACTAAGCTCATGCGCCACAACTAAAGAGCCCGCAGGCTGCAACTAAGACCCAACGCAGCCAAAAATAAATAAATAAATTAATAAATAAATGTTTTTTAACAATAGCACCAATCAGCCTCATAATGAATCATTTGGCTTCCTTAGACGTCCATTTCATCATCCTTGGAATGTGGAAATAGGTCTAGAACAGGGTTTCTCAGACTCAGTATGTCGAGATTTGGGTCAGTTAATTCCTTGTCCTGGGGAGGGGCTGTTCTGTGTATTGTTGGACGTTTTAGAAGCAGCCCTGGCCTCTACCCACTAGATGCCAGTAGCATCCTTTTAGTTGTGACAAACAAAAATGTCTCCTGACATTGCCGAAATTGCTGCCCCTGTGAGAACTACTGGTCATTTTAATCAAAGGTATATTCAATTTATTTAGTTATTTATTTATTTGGCTGCATTGGGTCTTCGTTGCTGTGCGTGGGCTTTCTCTAACTATCAAATGGTATGATTCTAAGAGTTGGTGAATATAATAATTATGAGAGTCTTGTGACAGTTTCTTCTGTGGCGGGATATGAATGAAGAATAGAGTTTATTTTCCTTTTGCCTCTGTGGAAGTCTTTCTTGGTAAGGTTTAAATATTGCTGTGAACTTGTTCCTTCCATTAAAATTCGATGACTCAGTTATCAACGTGTGACAGAGGACACAGGAGAAAAGCCTTTGAACAAACAACACTTTATGTTTATGGATTAATACATATGTTTGGGATGGACTAGGCTACTGGGTGAGTGGTTACTCAACATAGTCATTAAAGGTAAGTCCTGGAACATAACAGACATTCCAAAATATCTGCTGAATGGAGGGAGGATGGATAGTTGGACAAGTGAATGAAGGATCTGCTATTGCCAGTTCATGAAGCTTTAGGAAGGGTATGTCATCAGTGACACCTAAAAATGATGGTCATGAAAGCAAAGGAAGGAGGTCATTGGATGTGAGCATTCAGAACCCCTTTCATCCTTCCATGATTCCCTCTGGGTACCTGCCTGCCTCTGTCTTTCCATAACCATTTCCTTACATCTCTCTCTCAGGCCTTATATCCTTACTTGCCTGCCCTCCCCCCCTTTTTTAGACTTTTTTGATGTGGACCATTTTTTTTTTTTTTTTTTTTTTTTTTTGCGGGGCGCGGGCCTCTCACTGCTGTGGCCTCTCCCGTTGCGGAGCACAGGCTCTGGACGTGCAGGC